TAATTTTATTCATAAATTGTATTGAAAAAAAATATTCCTTTCAATTTAATGTGATAGGTTATATCAAATGAAATTAACCAGCCTAAATCATAATACACATATGTAATAAAAAATTTATTGAAAACAATATTTGAAATTTTAAAAAATTCGATGTTATATCTTTGAATATGAAATTTTTCTTTTGGAAAATCTATGATAAGAATAAAATATTATCTAACATATTTTTAAAATTTCATATGCCTATAAAGAAGATCAATATATATATTTTAAACAAAACCACACATGTAAAAATATCTTTATCATTTAATATGATGTTGCAAATTTGATTATATCATTTTTTGTGAGATGTTTTCATTTCACTCAAAAATTCTCAGAGAAAAATATGAAGAATGTTTTATCAATATTTCACAAAGATTGATATTATCAGCATGAAACCATTAGATTGTCTTATACCTTGATTTTATCTTGACATGAGTTATTCAATTTTTCTATTTTATTTAAATAAGACTATTATTTTTGGGAGAATTTATTCAAATATAAAAAATAACAATGTCTTGAAATTTTTTTTGATTGATTAAATATGATTTTAAAACTCGAAAGAATTATAGGTGAACTAAATTGTCATTGTTCAATTCAAGTGAAGTTCAGTGTCCCAAACTTTCATTTTGAGATTCCAAACATCCTGGCACCATGAGGGCTCTCCACATCAAATTTCATAGTTTAGGTTTAAATGTTTTCTCGTCGGTAGGCTGTGTCTCATGTGAAAGCCCTTCATGGTAAGTTTTTCCTCTCTTGCTTAACAATTTTTAGTTTCTGGGGTGAATTTTCTACATATGCAGGTTATTACTACATTTGTAACAACATGGCAACATTTTCACTACCCAGAATCTCTTAATGTAAATCATGGCATGCCACGCATTTAAATATAGTAAAAACTCCCTGAATTCACATTCCTGTTAAATTAGGATCTTAGATGATCTAAGGAACATATCAAGAAAAGGCACTTGTATTTGTTCTTTGAGGACTTTCTTTCCTCTGCTTTTCAGTTGTTATCAGCACTGGTAGAATAAATATCATTACCTTAAATGCCTATCATCCGTCATCATTTACTCTTCCCATGACCTACCTTATGTACTTACCCTCATTCATTTCACTAGCATTCCAACGTTATCATTTATGTACGCCAATTTTCATCGAAGAGAAAAGGTTGAAACAACTTAGCGTCCTTCTAATCATCCGATGCAAGCATTCTAAGATATAAAATGAAAATTTTAAAAATAATAAAACCATGTGGAGAGAAAGAGAGAGGTAGCCTTGCACACAGCACATGCACCCGTTTCATTTTCTCTAAATCACAATTCATACCTCGTCGGAGAAAGACAAAGAGATATCGGGACTTCTGGAAAACTGGCAGAATCCATAAAACCACTTGCTTCTCGCATTGCCCAAATAAAGAGCCTGATCAAGATGCACAGAGGAGGTGGAGCCCTCTACATGTAAGATACATATTGGTGACTTGATACAGCATGTGGATCGTGCAAAATTTACAGTAAAATTCGAAGTAAACAGGGCATTCACTATAATACAATAGCTTAAGAAGGTCCTGGCATTGAAAAATATTTCCCGATTTGATACCCTTGAACCATGTTCCATACTGTACTGATATTCGGTGCATGAGTGCACATTTTGGGCTAATCTTGATTTCTTGCCGAATATGTGCCGGACATTTTGCCGAATCTCTCCGATTGTGCCTCGAGATGAAGCGTGATATTCTATTTATGATATATCTGGAGGGTACTGTACCACACGATAACAAGATCTGTTGGTGGACAGCTAATATGGCATCATAATGCTAGCTGTGTTCGCAAACAATGTGCATCGACATTCACATTATAATATCATGCGTAGAGGGTGATGTTACTTCTTAGCCCTTTCAGACATATCATATCTTGTTTTCAGCGCTCATATATATTATCATAGTTGAAGTTGTTACTATATAGGATATGATTTCTTTCCTTAGGTTATCTTATCAAATTTTATTTAAGAAAATTTTTTTAAAGGAGAAATAATTCTCTCGAATTATTCAAAATTTATTATGGAATATAATCATTATTTTTTATCTTCTACTAAATTTTAGAAGTAAATATTTACAGATCTTGATAAGAGCAACAATTTTTCTACAAAAATGATTATATTTTATGAATATAATTTTCTTTTAATTATATATACTGATTTTAACGTTAATATATATTCTTATATGAATAAAAAAACTGATCTTATCCATAATCATCAAAAAAATGAAACTAGATAATCCGAATGTATCAGACACGATAATATATATTCCCATTTACGTGCTAATGGGGCCTGGCCAATGTTAGTGGGGTTGGTTTCATGCACGCCAAATTGGGTGTGCCATGACGGCATCTTCCAATCCTATCGGGTGTGAATAAATCGTGAACTTTCTATTTCAGTGTGGATCACTTGGAAAGCGAAGATGGTTATGGAGTATGGGGCAAGTTTAGTGGCATAACCGTGCGCTTGAATCTTATCCAACATGGAGCAGAAGCTGGTGCCCATAATCACGAAGAGCATTAGAGAGTGGCGAGCTCATGTGCCGGGCCCAGATTCGCACAACCGACGCGACCCGTTGCGCCGCCCCAACAAGGATCACGCACCTTTATCCGTTAGGATCCGTGCAAGTCAACAGACTCGCCTCAAGGTCGACCAAGTCTTTTATTCGTCCCGAACTCTGAACCCTTTGTCTTCTTCTTCGCCACAGGTGTCTCGCAAAGCTTGAGAAAGATCCAGACCCTTTTGCCTATTCATAACCAGCGCTTGCTGTCGTTCTGGTGCCAGTCAACCTCGAACCTCCACTTGGTGGTTGCGTTGCCCACTGGGTTGACAGTGCAAGACGAACCCCAAGCAAGGATGGATGGTGCTAGCCCACCAGCGTCGCAATGGTAAATATGTAACACTGAACTCAGATCTCAATTTTCTCTGATACAAAAGATCATTCGTCATCCCGTTACGAGCTCACCATCGAATTCTAGACTGGAATGGGAATTCCTCGCATAGCATGAGGAAGAAACGGAGTACATGGGATAGGGCTAGCCCTACTAGCAAAGCAATGGTAAATTTGCAAAAGATAAATAATGTTTTTAAACTGAACTGATGACATTTTCATACTACTTGAAATCTCAAGAAATTTCATCTAACGTGGTTGATCTCACACAAATTTCATCCACCAATGTTTTTCGCAAAATAATGAATGAGAACTTTGAAAATAAATATCTTAGTATGATTATAAGTTTTATAGTCTGATATGTAAATTGTTGTTGATTCTCTACGCGGCTTATCGAGGTAAGAGTCCATAAGTTGATATGACTTCTATACTGGAAGAATTAAAAAGTATTATATGTTAAGCATATCACTTTGATTATACAATCAAAGTGATATGCTCAGATATATATATATATATATATATATATATATACCATGAGTTTTATAAGAGAAATAACTTAAGTTTGATTCATTTTCCATTCGTCACTTCATGTTCAACAAACTACGTGAACTATCATTAACTACTTCAAATACATGAAAGAAACTAATCTTTGTACACCAGATTCATATATTATGATAATTGAACATTACATAATCTAGAATCAAGAAGAGATGTGGCAGAAGTTTGTAAGGCACATATGGGATCTAAGATGCTTTGGTGATGGAGTATGTTCACTTCCAACAATCAAATCTAAAGGAGTGAAAGAAACTTGGCTGACAGGCTCAATTTTCCCAAGTAAAGTTTACAGGTGGAATATCTTCTTCCCCGTCACTAACACTTCAGTTCATGGTATCTGAGACTAAAGGCCACAGTAAGTAATTTCCACAAATTGGATAGAAATCTGGCAAGGTGCATGTGAAATGAAGAGAGACAGAAAGTGAAGGGGCATCAGCTGATAAACGGCTTTGGCAGTGGCCATCTGCCACCTTTGACAAGAGGATCCGTCTTACAACTCACGTGAACTATCAGAGCCTCCATAACCTTGACATGTGGTCAACCTCTTCCCTTGCGCTGCAGGTACGGCGGTCTAATGAAGGTTTCGGTACAAGCGGTGCTGTTGCTTCTATCAGTGTCACGTGATTTCTTCATGTCTTACGAGGGGTGGAAGCAGGTGTTAGGTTTGAGGCACTAACGATCAACGACTCTCAGCTCTCAGTGTGCATGCTCATGTGCAGCTCTCCAAATTCACGTCTTCCGCAGACAAGAACCTGATCGAGAATCTTGGTAAGATTCGATCATCTGTACCAGATTACTCAGAAAAGTTTAGCTGATTCATATGAATTATTTGTTAATTAAGGACGGAGCCCACAACCTTGACATGCGATCAGGTTGCACTTTGCTCTATACATTCCAATAATATCTCCACATGATTTGCAGCCTGTTTCAAAGTCCCAGACTCTGCACGTTTTCCATGTAGCCTGGAAGAGTTTTTTTGTAGTATGTTAGCAAGTTCTCTCATCTTCATTTTACAATGGCTGCCAAAAACAAATATCTCTGATGCGTCCTTGGGTTCCAAGGAACAAAGGACTGCAATAAACTGGTGCTCTCCACGAATTGGACATGTGAACATAATACAGCTGCTACTTAGCCAGCAGGTAGACCTGTTAAGTTGTACTTGAATGGGTGCTTAGGTTCGGACACAAACTGAGAGTTTCATAATGATCTATGCGTTGATGATTGTAAGACCAGATTTCTCATGTTGTGTTCTCCATCATGAAATACTTGGAAATGATTGAAAGTACTTGCTGCCTCCATCAATACAAGACACAGCACGGCGCCATACTCCTAACATGCGAATTGATTATGCAGAGCCTACCATGCAGGAAATCAGTTGAGAGCGTCCATGATTGATTGAGTGCATGCATCCGGCGTTCACAACTTCACTCGCCGTGGACCTTACAAGACAGTGATTTGCAGCAGGTAGTACCTCAAGTGTCAGCTGAATGTTATGGAATCTTTATTACATCAAATGCCGTATACCTTTATTTTTCCCCGTATCAGAGTGATCGTGTGATATGGGCAGATATATCTACCAAGGCTTGCACCGCTAAGCATTGCAAAAGTGCGCTCGCCTGTGAGGTTCGATGTCGGTGCTAATCACCCATCTAGGTGGACCTACAAAATCTTGCTCGTGACTTACTATCATTCTTAATTGTTGGTGAAGTAGTTCTGGGAGATGGTTGCAGTACCTCACACAGCAAGATTCTTAGGCACTGGTCTGAAATATAACAAACATATACTAGTTTAGCCTCCGTGCTGGTGATTTTATCCAGCATTTATAACCTATGTCAAACATGTCCTCGCAAAAATTAGACTTGGTCATATCTATAAAGTTACATTCATCGTGCATGTGACGAACTCAGAAGTTTGATCAAGGTCCATGTCTATGCAAGATAAAACAACCCCCACGTTTAAACTGGCCTCGAACTCGATCAAATGGACAACATGTGCACTACAAATGTAACTACTTTGTTCTCGCCGTCATGATCATACCTTCTCATCTGCACTTTTAAACTATATATCTGATTCTAAAGTAAGCATGTGATTAATGTGCAATGTTGAGAGGAGCTCATCGTCTTCTTGTTGTCCCACATCTGGTAGCAATATCCGCTCATGTTTTCTGAGGCAAGATAGTCAATGCCAAAACAGTCACGAGATGCTCAAAGCTCGAAGATGCCATTGAAAATGCAGCTGCTTAAGACAAATTCGTCTATTTGACATGTGATAAGCAAGCATGAAAGCAAAAGTTACCGCAATGATCGACTATGCTTGTTTCTTGTTTGAAGATGCAAGGAGGTGGCGGGTGACTGAGCACTCGCTTGGCGGCCGAGTAAGATGGTGCAGCATGGAGGTGTATGCTGCCTACCTCTCCTGAAATATGCAGTAAGAGACAACGAAAATATCCTTATTTTATTATGCTGTCTCGAAATACTGTGGACTTCGGTAAGAAATCCCGCTTTGTAGGGACTCATGTACATGTTCATCTTGTTCATCGAGATTCATGCTCTTGGCCAAACCTCATCTTGATGACCCACCTCGCTCCTTCCTTTCCTTTCCTTTCCTTCTGCTCTCCTGAAGCCAACGCACGAACATTAATGTGAAGTTGACATCAAGACACTTTGTTTGCCTATGGATGTCACTTGCTGCCGGGGCGAGCTCCCTATGCTCTTGCCATGTGGCACATCGTCCAGAAACCATGGTTGTCGATGGGACTTATACTCAACTGTCCCGTGTCGAAAGAAACAAAACCTTAAAATCAGGCGTCATCCTTAAAATCGAACTGAACTAAAATCTACCACATCACTGTTTTCCTACCTCTGTTTTATAAGGTAGTTTATTTTACCTGACGTGAGGTAAAGACAGCAGGAATACGACAGTTGAAGCGACGATAATGGGGAAAAAACACGGTAAATCGTCATGTCAACATCAGATGCGTGCGGTGAAGGATCTCATTACCATCTTGAACCTTGATACAGGAGTCAACGCATACTTTCCTCGTTCTGATTAGCCCGTGCCCCGATCCCCATCAAAAGCTTCGAAATTTAGACCCGGAACAATAATATGTCGCAAGAAGCATCAAATTAATTCGAGAAACCTGTCTCCTCAGCTCATATGATAGAAGGATATAGCGTCCATGGACTTCAATGAACCTGCAGCTTTCCGTCGTTCTTCCAACAAACCGCAATCAACCTCTCGGGTTTGTCCTCGATTCATTTCAAGGACTTCTGTAACTGTTAACACGGGGAATTCTATTCAGCAGTTAGACTCCGAGGATAGAGTACTGTACTGTGGTGCACAGCATGCATGGAGTCCAAAATTATTCTTCTTCGAGACGGAATAAGTTAAGAGAGAGAAATTGTGGTTTGTGAGGAACGAAAAATATTGTTACTTCATCAGGTGTATGAGAAAGAACGAGAACTGTATTGTGAGATGGGTAAACTGCCCGTAGCAAACATCTGCGAAATGAAACAATCAATATCTTCAACCCATTAAAAATAGTCCCAAGTATTACTCTTTTTGTATACGAAGTACGTAACATGGGATGTTCTACACTTTGTATCATTCACAAATGTAGTAAAATGACAATGGTTTATGCAAACAGTGATAGAACTAATACCGAATGTAAACTGTGGGTAATAAAAGGAAGAGCATGTGCTCGGTTTCAATCGAACCCACATACCACTTGCTCCGTCTTTAGAGGCACTGATCTATTTCTGAACATCGAGCAATATTACAATATATCAGTCAACAAAGATTCAAAAGTGTTTCTTGCCAGAGGATGCCTTTTTCGGAGGACGACTTCAGGGTGGCGACCTTTTCCTCAGTGCTTGCCATATGCGTCTCAACTGACTCAAAGATTCCAGAAGCAGATGCAGACAGAAAGCCCGAGTATTATATGTCAACACCAATAACTGCAACGTCGAAATGAAACTCGCCTTTCAACATTTCGGCAAAACGAGTCGTTGAGCTTTGAAATGCAGATGAAGGTCGTGATCTGTCGATTGGGGCACCAAATCGTGGAGGTGAATTATGGTTGATCGTCTCGGTGAGCGAATCTCCCGAGTAGGTAAGTTCTGGGTCCATCGACCGATCGCCATTCTAATATAAGACGAGCACATGAGCTCTCGCCTGCTCAGCTCGCAAATGGATCCCTCGGAGTTCCAATTGCCGACACGACGACGCAAAGGGGGCCGAGAGCCGGAAAGCTCACCGACTTCGCGCGACGCGCCGCCGTCCGATGCATCAGATCGGACGAGCACGCGTCCGGGAACGAAGCCCCGCTTCTGAGTATTTTGTGCCGCAGTGAAAAAAACTCCAGTCACCGCCCACTCCATCCGCAACCCGACGTGGATCCCACATCGGACGACGGTCGCTGATTTGGCACGCCAAGTCAACAATCACACGCTCTCCTCTCCAGCCCCCTCCAGCGGGCTAACCGGCCAGAGGGCCAGAAAATGCCAACGAGGACGCTGCCGATGACCGGGCAGCAGAGGTGGAAACAGCGGCACGGCTTCCGTTGCCTCCCCCCACCTAGTGTTGGAGGCACAACCTCAAAAGGCATGGCCCGGGGCGAGGGCACGGGGGCATGCCTGTATGTACGAATAACTTTATACGTATATTCTAGAGTTATAGACTGTGGGATAAGTCAAGAAATAAATGGGTTATCATGCTTGTTATATTGAAATTGCTCTTGAAACTGAAGGATTTTCCAAGTATGTGAAAAACATTATTTTTGATGGCCGATATGAATATGGCTTGTGCTGTAGTATTTCCTGCTTCCATGCACTCCCTACATGCCCTGGACCTTTTGTTTTGCAGGTAACATAAGCACTTGTTCTCTCTTGCTTTGATTCCTTAGATTAAAATTAATATAGTCTGTTCTGGGTTTGAAGCTCTCATTTTCGTGTTGATTGTTTCTATTTCTAAGAGTGTTTTATTTCCATAGAAGTTTATTTTTTCATACGTCAAATGTACGTATTGTAATACGGGCATGCCTGGGGGCATGGGGCATGCCTTTTGACCTTGGAAGAGGGCATGGGCATGCCTCGGAGAATTTTGTTGTGCCTCCAATCCTACCCCCACCCCTCGTCCGATCGAGACGCCGAAGGGCGGCACGGGAGGAAGCCGGTGGCGGAGTGGAAAGCGAATCCGAGGTGGCAAGGCCATCCATTCAAGCGACCGGCTGAAGGCGGTGAGGAGGGCAGCGCGAGTGAGGAGTGTAGGCCCGAGGTGCGGAGCGCGCATGATGATTCCCCCTTCATAAATGCGGGCTCGGGCGCAACCTGGAGCAAATCGGATCAGACAATTCGCCGTCCCGTCAGTTGCTGCTTTGATTTGCTCGACCTCAGTCGAACAATCATCTGGGGAATCCCGCTCGCTCGCTCACTCACTCATCACCAACTAGTCAAGGCCCGCTGGATGTGAGAGCGTGGTCGATTTGTTGTCTGTCCATCTGATGTCTCTGAACGAATGCCATCATCGTCGAGGTTTATGATCTCGTTGCCCTCGAGAAGCTTGGAGCCCGAGAGCTGCCTGCTGGGTCCAGAAGCGTGATGATGGCGCCAAATGGGAATGCAATGCGCGAGAGAGATGACCGTGGCAGCGTTTGAGGAGGTTGATTAGAAGGTCTGGGAATTTGCAGGTTTTTTTGGAGGGACGATGATCCATTTGTGAACGATAGCGAATTGGGCTGTCGGTGTTATCGAGAATAGGTTGGGTGGAGAATCGAGAGATCGGTAGAAGGCGAGGGTGGAGATTGAGATTGAGCCTGAGCCTGAGCCTGAGCCTGAGACTGAGCCTGGGGCTGAAATTTCGTGAGAGCGCAGAGATGAGTCCCTTTGCTCAGCAGATGGTGCAGCTGCAGCGAATGGCGGTGTGGAATCACAGAAGCAAGAACATGGACGCGAGCCTGTGGAGCAACCTGCCGGAGGATCTCGTGGACAGGGTGCTGGCATGCCTGTCACTGCCGACCTTTTACAGATTCCGCACAGTCTGCAAGCGGTGGAATTCGCTCATCACCTCGCCCAGTTTTCTGCAGTGCTGGTCGGAAATGGCGACCGAGTGCCCGTGGCTGCTGATGATCAAGCGCCGCGACAACCGACTCTGCCCGGCCTACGATTCGCTCCTCTCGAAATGGCACGCGGTGTCGCTCAATTTCTTGCCTCTGCAGGCGACGGAGGTCGTGGCCACCTGCGAGGGATTGTTATGTTTGAGGGCCGAGGTCAGTGGCTCTCTCTTCGTCTGCAATCCCTTGACAAAGCGATGGCGCGAATTGCCCACCATGCTGATGAAGAATCAGGCTCGAGGAATCGTCGGCATGACGGTGAACAAGGCCACGAAATGCTACAAGATCATCGTGGCCGGCAGCAATTCCGACCTCTACGATCGCAAAACGGAGGTTTATGATTCGGCCACCGATTCCTGGAAGCGGAGTGGTGATCTGCCAGCCCGCACAGATTTGAGGCCCGAGTACGCAGTGTGCCTGGGGTCCATGTATTTCACGACCTCGGAGCCCTTCTCGTTGCTGGCCTTCAACATTGCGGAGGACGTATGGCGCAAGGTGGAGGTGCCGATGCCATGCTCGCTGACATGCTCGAGGCTGCTCGTGAACAATGGGATTCTCGTCCTCGTCGGAGGAGTGGGCAAGAACGGAATCTCCCGGAGCTTCTGCATCTGGAAGCTGGAGAAGGAGACGATGGAGTGGCAGGAGTGCGAGCGAATGCCCGACTATCTGTGCAGGAAATTCCTCGCCATGTGCTACCACAATTACGAGCACATCAGCTGCATCGGCCATATGGACCTCATCTGCTTGGCCTCCTTCAGCTGGCCCGAAACCTTGGTCTACGATGCGTCCCTCAAGTCGTGGCATTGGCTGCCTCGATGCCCTCTCACTCCTCTCCAATCCGGCGGCTTCAGCTGGCTCTCTTTCCAACCTCGCCTCGATGCTGCAGTTTGATGCTTGCAGGGTTTGACCGGCCATTGTACATTTCGACAATTTCCTTGTCCCTCTTTTTGGCCCTCGTGCTAACTAACATTCTGCCGAATGTTCATAGATTGTACATTTTGTACATGCTCTCGTTGTTAATAGAAGGGCAATTTTCCCGAGCGAGCGAGCGAGAGAGCTTGCTTGCTTGCTTTCGGATGGGTCTGTAAATACCTGCATCCTTTCAGATTGCGATTCCCGAGAAGATTGATTGATTGTTAGATGTGGTTTTAGATGAGCGCTTCCTTCCGGTGGAGGAGGTGATTTTGTACCATGTCTTGGAAACTTGGCGTTGATCGCCTCGACCATTTTGCACCGCCTTCGGTAATATTTGACAGTCATCCCATCCATCATCTGCTTGTGTCAATTGTGGATGTCTTCTCTTGCTCCCTCCCGGCTGGTGACGAAGAGACCAGTCGTTACGTGCGCTTGTACTATCTTCCTTCTATGATGATGATGATGATGCTGTGGAAATGTCTCGATGATTGCTCTGTCACTACTACCAGCTCGTTCTCGCACTAGTCCACGTGCACTGCAGGTTTGAGGGTACTCGCCCTCCTTCGCAATTTCTGCAGCTCGAGCTTACTCACAGTCCGCCAATCGGAATTCGGAACGTGTCAGTCAGGAATGTTTACTCGGAGCTTTTTCCCTTTCTCGTCATCGCCTCCTCCTCTGCCTCTCTGCCAGAGGAGAGCCACAGCCAAATTTCGTGCACGCGTCGCGACGTGCGCACGAACTCTTGGCGGAATTTCACGACGAAAAAGGGGTCGGGGTGCGGCCCCCCCATCTCGCCACAAAACGTTCTTTCCTCCCCGCCCCGTACCAACGCCCCCGATCCGAGAGCGGAGTCCGAATCGCGCCTCGCCTCGCTGGCGGGAATCTGACTGGACCGACCGTTTTTTCCTACGTGTACGGAGTACGTGGAAACGTCGAGGTGAAACAACGGTTCATAGCCCCGACCCCAACCCATGCCCTTCCCCCTGTTCGCTAGGGAATGATGATGTCTCGAGGGCGCTCTCGACACTCGACGGGAAAAGATGAAGAGGGCCAGAGATCACTACGATGACGCATGAGCTGAAGCAAGCCTATCGTCTCCCTGCTGTCGTCAGACACACAGACATATCCACCAGTCTCCAGTTTACCTGTTGTTCTTCATAGGGGCCCCGATCGACGCGAATTCACTCCGCAATTTCACCGGCTGACCGATGTGAGTGATGTGTTTACTTCTCTACGCAAGAGTTACTTCTTTCGCAGATGACACGAACATCGTGTCTCTGAAGTTAATGTAAATATAGAGCGATGAAAAGAGGCAGAGAGTGTACACTGTGGGGATTTATCTTGATTCCGAAGTTATATGGAATACGTAAAGTGAAAATTTGTATCCCTGGTGTGTAGGAGCATGACAACCAATTGGGTTGTCTTATATTATGCTTGGTTGAGAGGATGTGTCTCTTTGCGGAGTGTTTCAATGTAGCGCAATGTGTTTATTTATTCGTGTTGTCGTGATATGCAATTCAAGAGAGAAAGATATTGTGTACTACATTAGGATCAGGTACATGGAGGAAGAGTGTCTTGGTTAGTGGAATGTTTTAGTGGCTAACTCTCATGCCAGTAACATAGAGCAACAACTCTCGAACATGACGCAGTTGAGAGCGAAATGAAATAGAGATGACTAGAATACTCATCTGCTCAGAGTATTTATTGTTGTTGATTTCATCCTCGACCACTTAAGAGAGGATGGAATAATTTCGATCAATTTCAGAAGTTATATGGGCAGAAAATTCCACTTGCATGAGAAATGGTTAATGGTATGGAGGATTTTTATTTTTCTGTCAGCGGTACGGACAAAGATGGCAAGATTACGAGTGATGCATGAGTATAGTGTACACTCATGAATCTAACAGCCAGATTTTCCAGTTTGATACTATGCACATAATGAAAAATGGCAGCTGAAGGTTAGAGTTCTATACTAGATTGGAGAGTTGTTTAAGAAGGTATAAAGCATAGCATAGTAGCGAGGAATGATAAATCTATAAAGTGGTAGACTTGATTCAATCAGTGAGAGAATGCATCACCAAACTTTCTCACAACTGTCCTTGTCCTACTACTTTCTTGACCGTAGATGAGACAAGAAGCAAGAAAAGTTACCAAGAGTTCAAGTTCTTCGGGATCATTAATTTTATTTGGTAGAAGGATCTAAGTCATATATTGGTGGATATATCTGTATGACCTGCTAAACAGGTTGAAGAACTGAAGAAACAACTCAATGACCTTTTTGGGCAAGTAACATCTACAACCTAGTATATCTACTTATGCATCTTCAGAGCATGATCTTATGATAATGAGCGTATTTGTGCCAACTTTAAATCACTAAACAAGACTACCACTTCTATATTTCGACGGCTATATAAAAGAGAATAATTGGAAAATGCATCTTACTTCATCCAATGAAGTTAATATACTGATATAACTCAATCAGCATGTCTGCAGGCGATGAAGATAAGACTATCGTTTGTACTTCGTGCTATCTTTTGGATTAAGCAATACTGTAGTCACCTTGTCTACAATCATGAACAACAGTCTGAAGATACGTCGGATGAGAAGGAAGAATAAGGAAAGAATGAGATGAAGACTGAATTGGTCATGATCCTAACATAAGGAGTGGAGGACTTGAAGTAGATCAAATAAATAATCATCGTCCATGGATAGATTACATATTCGAGCAATTACGTGAATATGGGTAGTTGGGTTGATTGAACATTATTGAACATTATTATTATTAACCAATTATTGAACTTATGTTGAACTGTGGATTAAGAAGTTAGAAAGAATACATTAAAGTATATTGAATTAACATGAGAAACTTTGCCAGAAACACTATCATACTAGAATTAGCCTCATTTAACCCATGTGTTTCAATCATTGTATAGAGAGCAATCACGTTAAAGTGTTTTTGTATACATCATAACCATCATGGTTTTTACTGGGATCTAACCAACATTTTTAATCCACTCTGACCCTTTCTCACCAAGATATAACACGGGGATACCCAAGTAATTTGGTAGTTAGAGAGGAGAAAGTGAGCTACAACTAGAATCTCACTCGAGAGATCTTGGCTACATAAGAGTGCAGAGGACGATTGGTAAAATCAAACTCCAAAAAAAAGCAAAGTAAATAGAACTCTCGTGAGTGACATCGACGGCACTATTTCCAACTACAACAAATTCACAAATCTCATGCTCATAGACAAATGTCACTTTTATATACATATAAAAAAAGGGGCCACCAGGAAGGAAAGCTTATCCTGGAGATGCTCTTTCCTTACATTCTCGTCTTGTAGAAAGAGCCGCTATATGAACCTCTAACGTAAGCGAAGGTAGTATTACTGCTATACCCATAGTTGAAACTGAAGCAATATTTTACTCCTTATTTTGGTTATGGAATAACAAATCAACAAGGACTAATACATATTCAATATTAAGTTTTTTTTTAAATATAAAATTTATTTTATTAGGTGTATAGAATCATCAAGTTTTTTCTTATATTTTCATTATACAGTCGAGCTTTTTTAAAAAATAAATAAAAATATTTTAGTATGTGTATAGAATCAACGACGTTTTTCTTATATTTTCAATAATAAGCTAGATTTTAAAATAATAATAATGGATATGCCATTTATATGTAGTGAATAAGTGGATGCTTCTCGTTTTTGGCATGAATTTTTTTGTAAAAAAAAAATTGGAAGATGGAAGATGGAGACGAGACATGGAGCAGTGAAATAGCGTCAGAGCTAGACGAGGGCGAGAGGGGAAAGATCGGGTGTCAGCGGCAGGGGGGGGTCGAGGCCGATGAGTGGCTGCGCAAGCGGACATGAAATTGGGCCTCGTCCTGTCTGGATACACACGCACGCGTGCATGCAGCCTCGTGCACACAGATTTTCAGTCAACGATCGACACCCATGGCCACCGGGCGTTCGCTGATGATCAGGTGTCGAGCGCATCGGTTCGCTTTTTGGTGTACAGATTTTCCGCTTTGGGATGAAGTCGATGATGAAGTTGAAGTATATCGGTGAAAGTTGCCGAGGCCCTCGTCTTCCCGACTGCTCGGTTGACGAGGAAATTCTAGACCTCTAGCCAGCAATCTATCACTGGTAGCTTTCTTTTGAAGATTTCACGAGATTCGTATATTTCTCGGTGCATTTAGGGCGTGTTGGTTGTCGTGCCAAATCTAAAGCAATTTGGAGATTTGCTTTAGATTAGCAGGAGGAATTACCCAAGCCCCATAGCTTTTTGTTACGTTCCAGAGATTGAGATCGTCATGAGCTTTGAAAGCGACTATATCGTCTAGACTCGATGCTCACATTCGTTCTCGTCATTCTTTCCGACGTTGGGGGTCACATTTGAGGGAAGGTTCGAAGACTTGGACCTTCTCGTCGACAAACTTTCGAGAAAAAGCGACCTTTAGCTCGACCATGCGGAGAGGAAGTTTGCCCTTCTGCCATGAGTATCTCGACCCGATTACCGTCAGTGTGATCGCAAAAGCCTATTGTTGACCCAGCAGGAGCTGTCGCTTAGCCCGAATAATAGATTTTCAATCATCACTCACTTATCTGCTGTTTTTGTCACGTCGAGACGGGAAACTTCCTCCGAAATTGAATCTGCCTTTTGCTGAAGGGAATAGAAGATCGTGACATCATCACGCGGAAAGCCTCATTTGCCCACACATCCATACCCTATGTTCTGGAAAAGATACCAGAATGAAAAGAAAGGAGAAGAATTTCGTCGAAAGCCCTTCGACTCAAACCGCTTCCTCCTTTTAGAAAACATCGGGAAATTTCGTACTTTTGAATAATCGGTATGTCCGTGATTGTTGATCCAATAGATCAACAATCACGAGAAGAAGCAGATCATTCGAAGGAATTATTTGACTGTTGAGGTTTAGGGTTTAATGACCCTTCATGCTTGACGATGCTGCTGCTGATGGAATCGAGGGGGTTTACGGTTGAAACTCATCAGCAGTCTTCCTTTGAACGATATCTCAACAATTGAACTTCTCTCAAATGTCAACCGAAACGAGGTTTGAGCATTTCTTTTGCAATGCATTACAAATTTTATCATGCCAATTGTTGTGCATCCTGATGGACATGTGATCTTCAAAAGTGTTAAAACCAAAAAAATTGAGCCTGTTCATATCTCCAAACCAAAAGCAAGATTAACAAGCGATTTTATTGCTTGTAGGCTTCACTCTCTTGTTGATTGCATGTGTACTAACTAGGATATTATTGAAATGTAAGCTTGTTTATTGCATGTTTACTAATTAGGATATTACTGAAATGTAAGCTTGTTTATTGCAT